TACACAGAGTTTAATTTGAAAAGTTACCTCAGGCAGCATTGTGAAGGAGTAAGAGCTGGAGGGGGAACCAGTAAAGAATATGTTAATATGAGTGGGTTTTCACTATGAGCAGCTGGGAGATCTCTGAGAAACTATGTGAAAGATGCTTCAGAATTTACTCTCTTAAGGGTGCTCAAGAGTGAGGATATAGCCTTCATTAGTTAGAGATTGCTCTTGAGATGTCGGGCTATGTTTCCCTGATTTGGTCTATGAGATACCCTTTCTCTTCTGTGACTCTCACATTCATCTTCCAACAGCTGTGCCAGGAAGGTGCTACCTGACAACTTAAGGGTCTACTTCACCATGAGTGATGCATTAAGAATAGTTTCAAAAATTTGCAAGAGTCGTGCTGTTTGGCTACACTTATTTTGGCTTTGTGTTTCCTCAAATAATTCTCCAAGAAATTATTTAGCTTGCCATTTCTAACAGAGTTTGTTAAGCTTAGTAATTGGTGTAGCTGAAGATAGTTAAGTAAACCTTCCTCAATTGACACAGTATTGTTTAAGACAATGGTTTGCGAATGGTGCCCATATGAATGTAGTAATAGTGCTTGAGGTGGTGGCAAGCAGTAGCCATATACTAGGAATATACTGGGTCTCTTCAGGGCTTTTTAACATCATGGTTATCATGCCGAAAACCATGGGACAAGACATTCTACTAGTGTTGGAGCACTTATCTGATTGATCTCCATAGTCTATAAAAGACATTATGTTCAAGGCCTGATTTTGCTACTGGGAAGGCAGCATTTGAAGCTTGAATAGCATGTTGAATGAGATGCTTCAGGAGGAGTCAGTGCCCATCACATGATATCTGAGGTGTCCCATAGAGAGCCTGGGGCCATTGTAGTAGATGTTATACAAGCTCTTATCTTGATCCAGGCTTCCCCAAGAAGGAGTACTTCAAGGCCTCTGAAGAGATCATGGGGAACACTGAATGTGCCTAGGCTATTATGGTGTTGATTGCTGTTCAATAAAATGTTCTCCAGCTGTGAGTGGCAATAAAAGAAATTGTTGCAGATAACCTTAACAAAGGGGACTGCCTCTAGCTTTAAGATATATTGATCATGCCCTGGGTTAGAAGAGTTCTGCCTAACAAGAAGTTGTAGAAGTTCTAGCAGCCTGCAAAGAAGGCATGGTCCCCAAAGTGATAACTTTTGATTGATGAAGATTATAAGAGACTAGTAAAAGACTTTCAAAGAATAAGAGTTTTTGGTAAATCTCAGCCTGAGTCAGTTAGCCATGAAAGTAGCATCAGAGAGGAATCATAGATAATATATTCACCCCCTTTCTCCCACCATATACTAAATTACAGAAGGAAAAATATTTAGAACTCAGAAACATGATTATGTTGTCACAAATACATAAAGTCAGTGCTGTAAATGGTGAAACAAGTCATCGTTGTATTTTCTCTTTGGAACTATAAAAGTATCATAATAATTTCTATCAAGAAAGGAAATAAGACATAGAAAATATAGCATCTAGATAAAATTAGACTCTTTTGCTAGTTGTTAATGACTTAGTGTTGTGATCTGAGATGCTTACTAATTTCTGACGTTCTCCAGTGTTAAAACTGTTCCTTTGTCTTAGCTCTTGACTTTTTACTGTCATATCCATTCATTGCTATAAATTATAATAAGATTTTTTGGGGAGGCTGAGATTTTGCCTACTCTTAAATCACTAAATGATATTTATTGTAACACTTTAACTTATTACATGCCTCTTCTTCATATGTATGGTCAATATACATGTGCTTCATGCCTTCATCATGAGCCATCCATAACCCAGAAGGTAAATCCAAGTTTAACAGGGCTGGGGTTATGGCTCAGTGGTCGAATGCCTGCCTGGCATGTGTGAGGCACTGGGTTCAATCCTCAGCACCACAAACAAATAAATAAATACACAAAGCTATTGCGTCAATCTACAACTACAAAAAAAAAAAAAGACTATCTATAGACCAGCTCTTTTCGTTAAATAGCTTTGCTTCCTTTCAGTTTCAGTTTTTTAAATGAAATAGGGTTGAAAACATACACAGATTCTTAAGTCTTTTTTTAATTTTACTTTCCATATGATTATACAGTAAAGTTACTATGCAAGGCCTTGTGAATTTTAAAACATGGAGAGTTTTGTGTAGTAACCTCTATAATCAGAACTATTATTTTTTGTGTAGTTACCACTATAATCAGTTCTGTTATTATCCAAAGTCCTCTGTATTAATGAGTTAGAGTTATATTCTTCCCCTACTCTTGGAAATCATTGGTTTTTTCTTTATCATTATGGCTTTGTCTTTGTGAACATGTCATATGAATGAAATCACACATTTGAATATGATGATCTAGATTAACTATATAAAAAGGTAGTGAAGGATGCATGCCTAGACTGTGTGACATAGAAAAATGGTAGAAAAGCTTAATGAAGCCATATCTTTGTTGGACTAGGATTAATCAGGACATGCTTCATAGAACAGGTAAAGTGTGGAGCATGGATCTCAGAGAAGTCCAAACTTTGTATTCATGGCCAAAACAGGGGATAACATTTCAGAGGGCAGAGAAGAATAAACATGCAATTAAGAAAATGAGAGGAGGGGTTGGGATTGTGGCTCAGTGGTAGAGTGCTCGTCTAGCACATGCGAGGCCCTGGATTCGATCCTCAGCACCACATAAAAATAAATAAATAAATAAATAAATAAAATTAAGATATTGTTTAAAAAAAAAGAAAAAAGAAAATGAGGGGAACGATGTAATTTGGAGGGGAGAATCCAGGCATATTTTGTGGCCCTTAAAATGGAGAGCAGCATGAACAAAGCCTTTGAAGAATAATTTGATAGTGATGTGTGAGATGTGCTAACAGGCATATCATATTTGGAAAATAAAGATGGTTATTGATGCCTGAAGAATATATAAACTGAAGGGGAGAAAGCTGAGAGTGGTTAGCACATGGTCAAAGGCTAAAACTTGGGTGGTAGCTGGGTGCTGGGAAAGGCAGAATTCTAGAAAATTAAAGCAAGGAACAGAGAAAGCAATTTTAGTGGTTAGATGACAGCCAGTTCTCAAAAGAGAGGCAGGTGATCAAAACATTAAACATCATACAGAGTTTGAAAAAGTATGGTGTAGAGGAAACCAGTGGTGAGCTTGGAAAAGTTTGGTTGCAGTGGAATTATGGGAATAAAGGCTAGATTGCAAAGGGATGAAGATGGTACACTGAAAGTGAAGATGAAATCAAAGCAGAATTGATTATGAATTGTCTTTATACATAGAAGTAACAGCAGGATCAGTTGAAGGGTTTACAAGCTAAGGAAGAAGTGAAAGAAGCCAGAGATGGTGAGCAAAATGAATAGAGCAAGAAAGTTCCTTCATGAGCCAGAGCTTATGAGGACTTCAGTTAAATTACCTTTGTGTGCATTTTGTTTGATTAGAACCATTGGTCAAATGAATATCGATTAACTTTCATCTGCTTCTCCCATTGTCACCAAAAGAAGTCCTATAATAATTGTTCTCTGTTACTTAAATTTTTCAGTTCTCATAGAATAGAATGAATGAATACTGTACTAAACCAGTAGCAACTACTTACGAATATAAATGCTTTAAAATTTATAGAAAACTTTTCATAAACATTTTTATTTTAACCAGTAATATTTAGAGTCAATAATAAAAAATTACTGTGGTGTAGCTGTTGGGAAGATTTTTCCAACCTCATTACAACAGAGACACTACACTTCTCTCCTAGAACTCAATCATGTCAATCACACAGTAGTATCCCTAAGCATTTGCCTCCAATTTTCTTGAATTGAAGAATCTCTCATAGTTGTTAGTATCTAGCAAGCTGAAATTTTAAACAAGGCTTTGCTTGCAACCAAAATTGATTTCTGTAATTCTCTCCAGCATGGTTTTTCTGACAAGGCTATTTCTAGATTACCTAGTGTTTGGACTCGGCTCATGTTGCTTATACAACTTTAATTCTTGCCTCTAAGCTGCAACCTGGTCCCTTTGCCAATCACGGCTGGAAGCATCCTCCCATGTTATGGACCCTTTCATCAACTGGGCTCTACCAATCACTACTATCGACCCTTTACTCCTCATAAAATAAAAACAGAGACTTTGAGGGCTTCTTGACATTTTGCTTGGGTTCCCTGAAGACCCATCCAGGACACCTCCATGGATCTGCTTTACTCTGTAAGGATGATCTATTTCTCAAAGACCCTACCATAACTCAAAGTAATCTTTAAAATAAACCTTGCAGGACAAGCTAGGGCTTATTGATTACCTCTCCTCCACATTCATGTCTTGGATAGAAGCCAACCAGCCTCCTGTGAATTCTGGATGCTTATAACATTCTATTAAGGAAGAATGGCAGTAAGGTACAGCTAACACCTATGGTCCAACCAGAATTTAAAACTTAATCCCTGAGACTCTTTAGCTGTTTTAGACTGAAAAGCATGTAAATACAGCTCTTAAAATTTGCAAGGCATAAAAATTTTGAAAAACTGTATAACAAGTAAAACAAAGGTTTTTCCAAATAGGGTTCTTGGGCAGACTTATATAAGGATACAGAAATCAGTCACCTACATGGTACAATTTGCAAGTATTCTCCATTTCTAATTTCTTTCCTGGAATATATCCTAGAGCCTGGCTTTCCCAATGAAAGAAATATATTTGAATTAAATAATACTCCTAAGATTCTTTTGTGAGGGGTAAGACACTGTAAGTCATAAACCCGTTAGTAAATTTTAGGCTATGAGATTCATCTTTGCCATATCAAGAGTGATCCTGGCATACTAAAGCATTGGTTTTGAGGGATTGGCGCGCGCGCACACACACACACACACACACACACACACACGGAGGAACAGGGTTCATTTAGAGAGGAGGAAAATAAGAGTCAAACAGTTTAGCAGTTTGAAAAAAAGATCTACTTTGGGTTGCTTCTGGTGATTCTGTGCTAAAATGTCATTAACTTCCTTTGCAGGTGGGCCATTGCAGAGCTCAGTGACATGTCCCAGTGAGGAGTGGAAAAAGAGGCAACACCCTACTGTGTGAGAACAGGGAAGGAGAACAAAACTTCAACCTTATTAGCATTGTTTGCTTTTTGTTGGTGAGAAAATTATAGGAATTCAAAATTCACCAAATTGAATTATCCTATAATTTATTATTGTATTGAGAGAACCCATATTTATTACCCAGTAATTCCCTTGTTTATTTCTTTGTAAAAAGTGAAGTAACTAAAGATAAAGCACCTAATATTTCAAGAAATGAAAAAAACTGTCTTTTAAAAAGACCTACTTAAACTAGGTCACCATTTTTGGGGGACAGCAAAGAGGCCGATAGAGAATTATATCACAAGAAAAAGTGTATATACTGGAATAAGGAACTATATTCAGGGAATAGCTATGGGGGTTTAATGTTCAAATTGAATTTAAGAATAAAGAATCATGCATGGATGCTAAGGAGAAGGTTCAAGTAAGGAGGGAGAAAATGAATGATTTACCAAAGGCCAAGAGTATCACCAAGAACTAAGAGGGAATGGACATTTTAAAACTGAATCATATCAGATATCAGTGAAGAATAAAGCAGAGATGATATGGAAAGAAAAGTGTTCTAGTAGGATTGGTAGGGATGTAATAAGTCAAAGGAGGTGAAGATTGGGAAAGTTGGATTCAAGGCTGCTTACCAAAGGACCCCCAAAAGAGATGGTTAACAATAAGTGAAAAAATCTGCTGATATGAACTTGTTAAGTGACAGAAAAGAAAATTTGAGACAGCTAAATAATTTACTGCTGCTGCATATTCGATCTTAAATGAATTCATCTTTCTAAGAATCATTGTCCAAAAATGGAAGAAGATTACCTGATTTGGAATCAATATTGAGAGTGGCACAAATTAATTAGAGTGGAATCAGAAAACTAATGGCAAAGGTAATGGAGTCATGAGAGAATGTGGATGACCCAAAAGAACTTAGTTTCAGTTATGCTCTGCACAAGAAAAAACATGAAAGGCATTGGCCTTCTACTATGAGCAGATGCAGTAAGGATAACATTAAGCAGAACTATTTAATTCTAATTTTGTTTCTTCTCTATCAAGAAGGAACAGATCTAGCACAATTAAGAAAGAAATTTGTCTGTGAAAATGGGTAGGAAATATTTACATACTCTCAAAAATCTACCCAGCATCCTTAAGAGGAAATGCATTTTTGTTGGTGTGATTCTGTACTATAACCACAAAGAATACTCATAGCCATTTTCTTATTTTCACATGACTATTTAAGTTATGCATGTTCTTTACAATGCCTCTAGGTTAGTGATTTTCAAACTTCTTGAATGTGACCTACTGTAGGAAATTATTTTATATTGTACCTTATGCAAATGCACATAAAAAATAAAATTTTCATAAATATCTGCCTTTGTTACTTCTGTTATGTTTGAATCTATTTTATTCTTTTCCTTTTCTAAACAATTGAACCTGTGACCCACTATCTTGTTGTCATGGCTAATCAAATGAGTAGCCCATGGATAGAAATCCATTGTTATAGATTATGAACATGACATTGGCTAAATGATTCAGTCCTGACTTCATTGTTGTGTTACTCAAATGCATTTTTTCCATATTTTTTCCTTTGGAAATAATTGTGAGTATTTCTTTTTTTTTCTTGGATAAAATAGCTTCCTGAGACTTAATATTGTGGTGCTTGATAATAAATATCTGAACTAATCCCTGGACTCTCCAAAAAACTACTGACCTACTTTGTTATTAATTATAGAAGAAGTTGAACCGTGTTTGCAACCAGTGCTTTGCATACCACTTTTAAGTATTTTAAATCAAAATATTTAAACATAGAAAAATATTTAAATGTCCCAAGAAAAAATTGCTTACAGGAAATAGTTAGGAATAAATTTGTGAATTGGACTATGAACCTCCATGGTTCTTTCTTTTTTGCAAATATAAATAAAGCTTTCTAGAGAGAACCATAAAAACATCTATATGAACCTAATAATATACACCAATTTCCTCTCCAAAAGAAATATTTTCAATATAATCATAAATCAATAATAATATATGTTATTTTCCTAAATAATTAGACAGTGTATCATATTTTACTGAATATTTTATTCATCATAGTTCTAACTTATTTCAGATCGTTTTGTCTTTCACATATGCCTGGGGCTCTCAAAACCAGCCAAAGTTTGCTATATCATTTTAATGAGTTGCACCCTTTTGTTCATATAAGTTGGCATTGCCATATGTTGGGCAGTTATTTTGCATTGGTGAGGGACTGTTTATCATTTATTTGTTGCATAGTGAGGGACTCTTTATCATTTATTTGTACTTATTTTTACATTTTATTTCAAAGCAGAACATAAGCCTAAGGACTAAATCTTGAAGGGTCTCGAGGACAGGAGCAGGAACCAGCATTATGTTCCATATGTTCTATGTTGCTACTCTTCTGTTCCAAACTCATATAATGGGTTATGATTTACAGTTCAATTACTGAATATCTTTCTCCAAACTTTTCTTACAGTAACTTCCCTACATTGGTCTTATCCAATTCAGTCTGTTTGATCTACTGATTCTCACATACACTGTGCCTCTGCCTACTTGTGTATCTTTGATTACAAAGCTCTCAACTAGACATCATCTTTTTCCTGTCCAAATATTACCATTTCTTCAACCAAATCCCATCATTTTAAAATAAAACATAACAACGTTTTTGCCTATGCCTGTCCCAGTGGTTGTTCTCATCTCTTAAGTACCTATTATCTGTATAACTTACTTTCCAGAGAAGGGCAAAATATAATGGCATGAGGTTATTTTTCTTGTATTTTTAAGTGCATGTCTTTGAAGTTTGTGTAAATTATTAGTCCCCTATACCATTTTTTATTTGTTATATTACAATAAATTTGTTGATGTTATGTATCAAATATTGTGCTAAATATTAGTTTGCGTTAGAAATTAATATTTTACATATATATTACAAAATGTAAAGGAATATGAGAGAGTCTAAAGCTTGTTCACATTTCTCCTAGAAGGTTGTGACAGAGAATGTTAGTATTCACCCAAAATTAACATCTATCTCAATATTTCCTAGATCTCATACATCTGGGTAGTATCATGTGACTAATTCTCATGGACAGAATATGAGCAGAAATAATGCATCATTCTGGTTGGAAGCAGGGGAGAGTAAGTGCTATTGCATATGCATGGCTATAAATGAAAGACTGTGAGATGGCATAATTTTAAGTTGGAGTAAGCCTGAATCTTTGAGTCCTTGCTAGATATCAGCACAGAGAGGCCATGAAACTTGTGTCAGATTGTGCCATGAGTAAGAAGGCACCTTCATTGTGGTAAGTTACTCAGAGTTTGCCAGAGATTGGGGTTTTTTACTGAAGCATACCTCTCCTCTACTGATTATTAAAAGTAATGATTTTGTGTATGCTGACGAGAAGATCAGGAAAGATGCTTGAATAACGTCAATCCTGATTAAATTATTAAATCCTTAGGAAATTTTGCATTTGTGAACATCTTTCTCATTGTCCAGATCAGTGTGCTATGTACATAGCAGAGTCCCAGTAAATTTTTGTTGAATAGATAAGTAAACAAACTATGGATGATTACAAGGAAAAACCATTATGACAGAACCAGAGAAAACAACAGATGATAAAATCCAGAAGTATCTAAGATACACACCCAGAGTCAGAAGCAGAATTTAGCAAAAAAGATGAAGATTAAAGATTAACAAATGAAAATTATTATCAAACTGGCAGAATTTCTACATCTTGAACCTTAAAAAGAAATGTGGGCAAATTAGAATATATCAGGCTTTACTCACTAAACTATCAGGATCCTTGAACTGAAGAATGATAAAGAATTTCAGTTTCTAAATCATAGATCTTTGTGAGTCTTTTATCTGGCTGATACTACTTGGCTCCTCTTAATATGATCTTCTTGGTAGAGCTGGTAGAATAATAATAATAATAATAATAATAATAATAATAATAATAATAATAATGTACAAGGAAGGAGAGCTTTTTCCCTATGAAAAAAGTAGCAATTATTTCTACTTTATTATTTTATTGTCTTCCATTCTCCATCATCTGTCCTGAGCCAATTCTTTCCATTTGCTTTAAGACAAACCAACATTTAAAAACCCAGGTGGAGATTGGGAATTGTGGCTAGCAGATAACTAATTATGGCCCCAGATGGGGGAAAATATGAATATGTTAATTAATTGGTTTCACTTAATGGAGGTAAAATGACTAGATATTATCTATCTATCTATCTATCTATCTATCTATCTATCTATCTATCTATCTACCTACCTATTATCTGTCATTGTCCTCTGTACTCTTAATTAATCTTGAAATTATCAGGCAGAATAAGGAAGGATATGACAATGTACACACACGTAGACACATATACACATATGCTGGGTATATAAATCATCCAAAAGATATAATCTTTGAGTAAATATTTAATAAAAGAAGATATTATTGAATAATGGGCCTCTTTTATAAGTATGAATAAGTCAGCTACAAAAAATGTCACAGAGTCAAGAAAGTAAATCCAGGCTTAAAGCAATTTCATGCTCCACTTTGTGCATAGTCTATTTGTTAATTATAAAATGTTAGCTCTTTTAATGTTTCAGCATTCTCAGAAAGACAGAGATGTTTTTATTGTCTTCAGGTTGCAGATGAGGAAACTTCAACCTTAAGGTATAATACTGCTTGCTCAGCACTGTTCGGCTGCTCTGTGGTGGGGCTGGCTGCAATTCTGTACTGCTGACTGTTAGTCTGGGACTCTTTCCACTCCATCACATTTTATGGTGTATAAAGATCATTACTCTAAGGCCAGTCATAGATGTGACAGCTCAGTGCAGGGAAGGCGGTGCACCAGCAGACTTTGCCCCTGCTGTTCACTGATGGCCTGAAATGCCCTAATATCTCATTCAGGGCCGAACACACTTGAGACACAAAGAAGCACAGCTCAGCTCCAACCATTTGATTTTTTGGGTACAGCCCTTACAGACAATCAGGTACAGCACCCTCCCTTGCATAGTTGATGGTCTTTCCTGAAGGCTATCAAACATATCTGCTGAGATTGCACTAAATAAAATGGCTGTCACCAAGCCATCTGCTGCATTTGAGCTTTTTTCCCCCTCTAAGATGTAACTTTTCAGTTTGTGCAGCACTTCAAATTCTTAATACACTTGAGTAAGTCATTAATATTTCACTTTCATTACCATGTATTAATAACACAAGAATTTAGAATGATCTTGTTCATCTAACTCCTAGAAAACAAATAATTACATTCGTGCATATTGATTGTCAGATAACTAAAGATGTTTAGCCTGGAGCTATGAAAAATCCACCAGCAGGCCCAGTTTTGGGTTTTAGCCATATTCAAAGTATATCAAACTGATGTCTGTGAAACACTAGAGACAGCAGGAGAGAAGTTCCAAAGGTTAGAAGGGACAACCTTTACTGGACCCCTTAAAAGTCTCCAAAATCCTTTAGGGCGTGGTTTCTTGGCAGGGGGTTGAAAGATTGAAAGATATTCAAAGCAAAGGCAAAGACATGAAACTTTGTCCTCAGAGGTTTGTTTTGTTTTTTAGTATGTGGGCATGATGATTTGTTTTCTTCCCTTTCCTCTTTAATGTCTTAAGGTTGGTAGGTTCTAATGGTGGAAAAGTGCCTTTGATGTTATTCAGTTATTCAACATTTCCTCAAAAATGAAAAAGTGCATCTACCTAGAGGTAAGTACTGGGCTAGAACACGATAACTTAGCATAAACAAAATGGTAGTGTTTTCTACTTAATATTGGGAGAGACAGAAATATGCAAGTGAAAAAATTGATAAGTTCTGTGAAAAAATAAATAAGCTGCTTTGATGTGTATGTGCATGTGTGTTGGGAAGGGGTGGGAAGAGAGAAGACCACTTTAGATGGAGGTCAAAGAACTAGGGGATATGCCAAATGCATAGAGAATAATTGTGCAAAAGCCACAAAGCAGAGAAGTGCTTAACTTGCTTTAGAAACTGAAATAAAGCCATGTGGATTAAGAAAAGAGGGGAAATGACATCAGATGATGTTCCCGGCCTAGATAAGTGCTTAGAACACTCCTATAAATTTTTGTAGCCATGATCAGACCAGTGAATGTTCTTCTAAGTGAAGTGCAGTGGGAATACACTGAAACTTTAAGTAAGCAACAGTAACATCAGGGTCTGAGACAAGGGTAGAAATCATTTTTCTGTGTTTATACACCTGGTAGATAATGAGAATTACCAGCAAGTCAGAGAGGGCAGTGGGGAGGAGAAGAGACGTTAGGTAGTAGATTCACCTTTTCAAATCCTGATACCTTTTAAGATGAGTGATAATTTGTCCTTGTATTCCTGGAATAGTCT